GGCCCCATATCTCCTAGTTGCATGATATTTGTATGGTATGTGGTAGTTGGGGAGACTCACTAAGCTTCGTGCTTACAGTTTTCAGTTTTGGTTTCAGGTACTTCCACTAGCAAAGGAAGGGCTCGGGATGATCGCATGACACACACCACAATTTCAGCCTGGGATTGTTTAGACTCTGATATTTTCTCATATGATTTGATATAGTTTTTGACATGATGTTTGAGATACATGATTCTTGATTTCCTTATTTATGATGATGGATGATTTATGGTTTTACTAATGGTTTTAAAAAGAAATTTTTGGTCTGTATTTTTGGGATGTTTCAGCATAACTTCATATGAGAATTATAGTTGTCTGCTGTGGCCCATTTACGATTTTGTTGAGCTACTTCGGGCAGTGGTAAAGGTTCAGGTCTGCCCCAATGGATGGGTTGTGTTTCTTCAGAATTGGAAAAATAAAAAGGAAACTTTTCCTATTGTGCTTTTCGAGGTTGTAAGGGATCAGTTTCCTCCTCTCCATCTTCATGATCATCCCCATCAAATTCAGTGTAACTCTGAAAATGTTCAACTGGCTCTCCATGTGGAATTATATTACCATCATCAACCAACATCATTAGTTTTGCCTCATCATTCGTAGATTCATCAACATCAACAGTAAGGTTAGCGTGAACAACAACCTTACCTTTAGAGCTATAATCACCCCTATGTATAGGGTTATTGTAAGAAGGAACATGGTTGGTTGTCATAGGTAATAAATTACAAATTTGGTTACTTCCAGCATCGAAAGAACCATTTCCAAAACAATTTTCCCCGGGAAATCGATTAGTATCACTTTCCATAACATTATTAATTACAAACAATTATACCGTGTTGGGAGGCATAGTAGTAATAAAACTAAGAAAATATCTAACATCACTATCTTTGAGAATCTGCATAAGTATATTTGATCGATGACATTGAAAAGATAAACAAATTTGATTAGTGTGTAACTTGGACTTGGAAGCAACAAACGTAACTAACCCAACAAAGTTGATATCATTGCTTATATCTACACCAAAACATGTGTAATCCGGAGCAAGATACTGCATACATCCGTCGATACGCTGTCATTGCCCTCCACTAGAAACTGGAACTCAAAAAACCCGTATACGTACTCATTCCAGAATGTTTATGGAAAGTATCGAACACACAAATTTATTAGACACACAAATATATTGCATATTTGGAACAAAAACATACAAAAACCCTAATTCTAGCTCTCCAGAATGTACGGTCGTTCCAGACATCAGTCAGGAATATACTTTTTCTGTCTGGAAGGTACGGAGTGTCAGATTCTGTAACACCCATAAAATTCATGCCAATTAAAACATTTTAACCCATTCAAAAACCATTAAGTTATTACAACTTGTTTTCAAAATAGTTTAAACATCAGAGTATCCCCAGAACCAAATCACAAAATCATGAAATATGAGGAGCGGTACGATCACGCCTTTGCCTTGCCACGATCACCTGATGTACCTGAAACAATAAACTGAAAACCGTAAGCTCGAAAGATTAGTGAGTTCACCCAAAATACCCGTACACACATAATCATACACATACAACAATGAACAACATACTATGGGTCCAATCAACCATCAGGTTGGAATACCTCACGCCCTCAACCGTCGGGTTGGAATGCCAACATACTACGAGTCCAATCATCCTCGGGATGGAATACTCTCGGCCCACAACCATCAGGTTGGAATGCCCACACACCTATACATACAATAACTATTATGGGTCCAATCATCCCTCGGGATGGAATACCCCTGGCCCTCAACCATCAGGTTGGAATGCCCACCTACTATGAGTCCAATCATCCTACCGGGATGGAATACTCCTGGCCCTCAACCATCGGGTTGGAATGCCCACCTACTATACATACACTAACTACTATGGGTCCAATCATCCCTCGGGATGGAATACCTCAGGCCCTCAACCATCAGGTTGGAATGCCCACCTACTATGAGTCCAATCATCCTACCGGGATGGAATACTCCTGGCCCTCAACCATCGGGTTGGAATGCCCACATACTGGCAAACATGTACACCTATCAAATAACCATATAACAGTCTACAAGACAACATACTAGGGCCCTATCATCCTACCGGGATGGAATACCCTCTACTACTGCTCAACACGTGCACATATAACAGGTAATCTCCTACCAGCATACAGACAGTCAGACCAACTACAAGTCACTAAGCATAGCCACATCCAATCTACCAGAATACCGATCTAACAGAGCATACCATCATATAGCCATCCTATCTACCAGGATGCCAACTAACAGAACATACCATCATAAAGCCATCCTATCTACCAGGATGCCAACTAACATATCACAGCAGTAACTAACTCAAATAACAAATCAAAGGGCCGGCCTTGGTGCCTTAGACCCTTGGGTATAGTGAGGATAACTCACCTTGCAACTGCCGAACCGAACCACGAAAGCACAATCCCAAAGCACTGCCCAAAACTCCAACACCTATAGCCATCAATGATCCATTGACATAAATACCAAATTACCATAATACCCTTGAAGGTCAAACTGGTCAAAGTCAAAGTCCTGGCCAAAGTCAACCTTCCTGATTAACCCTACTCGTCGAGTCAACCCCCTGACTCGCCGAGTTCCTAAACTCAGAAAACTCTCATATCACGACTCGACTCGCCGAGTCACCCCATGACTCGTCGAGTTCAACAATCTCTGAGTCCTATCATGTCCAACTCACTGAGTCACCACTCAACTCGCTGATCTGAGTCTTAACCAGAAGAGGTTGGGGTTTTGCGTTCTGACTCGCCGAGTCCAAGAACAGACTCGCCGAGTCCACGACAATCTTCAACAGACTCGCCGAGTTGTTCCTCCAACTCGTCGAGTTCATGCCTATCTTCAACAGACTCGCCGAGTCTAAGAACAGACTCGCCGAGTCCCTTCAGTCCTTTATTCATACAGAGGCTTTTCGAGTCATGCAGGGGCTCCAAAATGTATATCTACTCTTCTAGGGCATGACTCTCACGTAAAGTTGCAAACTTTACGTGGAAACAAAGAGTTATAGGCCCAAATCAATCTAGGGCTAAGGTTTAAGACAAGGATGCTTCACCAACAAGCCAAAGGCTGATACTTTGTGAGTTTCTGGACCAAGACAAGTCTAGATCTGAAGTAGCAACCTCAGATCTAGACCCCTAACCCGAAATAGATCCTTAACATGCAAAAAGGGGCCCCAAATCTCATTCTTGAATAGATATAAATGCAATAGAGTCAAGGTAACAGGTTGTTACCTCCAAAATGTGCCCAAGCTGAAGTAGATCCTGGATCTATACCAATCCCTTGATGCTAGCCTCTTGATCTTCAAGTTCCCTTCTCAAAATTCCTCCTCCAAAGCTCAAATCTCTTTAACAATGGAAGCTCACACGATTTTAGGGTTTACTGACTCTCAAGGGCAATAAGGAGGTTGAGGGGAGGACATATGGTCCTTTAAATAGGGTGTAACCCTTAAAATTAGGGTTTTCTCTTTTCAGCACCAACTCGTCGAGTCCAGCTGCCGACTCGGCGAGTTGGTCACTTAACTCGTGACCAGAACCCGCTCTGACTCGACGAGTAAGCATACCTACTCGTCGAGTACCTTCTTCAATTTACTCTTAAGTCCTTCAATCATACTTTTAAATTTTGGGATGTTACAGATTCCGGACCAAATTCCCACCAACCGGCACTCACTCCGGAACAAGATCATAAATACTCTGGAATATCGTATTCCGAATCACAACTCCGGAACAAAACTATGTGCTCCAGAATTAGATATTCCAGATCATATGGTCATTTTCCAAAAAAAATGTTGTTTATTTTTATTAAAATGGTTGTTTATAAGGGTTAGACTACTCAATTTCCCTATATATTATAAGAATGAACTATTGATTAATAAAAAACAAAGAAGTATTGGAAGCAAGAGTCGAACAATGGTCTTTTTGAAAAAGCAAGCAAACAAAGCGCACTTTGCCAACTAAGTTGCGAGTCATATTTGAAGTTTAGTTACGCAAATTGATATATATTTAGGTCCTATATTTTTTCAGGACATATTCGGTCGCACGCTTTGAACCCCATTAGGGTCGGACCTGATTATCTCTTACTAATATTCATATACAAATAAAAGAAATATCATTAACACACTTTGAACCCCATTAGGGTATCTCTTACTAATATTCATATACAAACAGGGGCGGAACACAAGTGTGATAATTAGGGTGACCGAAACTAAAATTTCAAAAATTCTAATATTACATATTTCTATATAGCTCATCAAAGTGACACTTTTCGATATGCACAATTGTTGCTAAACTAAATGTCTGTTTAGTTGGACGTAAAAAATTGGTAAATGAATCGAACCAAGTAATGAAACAAATAATTCCGTTGTATGAGAGTTTATTATGTTAAGTTATAATTTTATATTTCAAGTTTCAAAGAAGTTCGTTTGAATAACAACGCATTTCGGTTTTATTTCATTTTCAATAAATTTTTTTTTATTTAGAATGACAAAATATTTGAACACTTTTATTTTTGATGATATGTTTTTGTTACTTTAATATAAAAATAACAATATACTTTAAATCTCATTTAAAAAAAAATTCAAAATATGAGGTTAAACTTAATAAATAAGATAGATAGAAATATACTTGTAAAATATGACCTTTAAGATCAATTAAGAAGATAGATAGAGACGTACTAATAAGTTATAATTTAAATTGAGACAAAATAATTTATTCATCTATATATTTAATTGTACCTGATATCATAAATCTAAAAATAAAAAGACAGTTAAGGTGTATATGAAAGGCAATGAAGATAGAATTGTCATTTTAAAAAGTTATTATCTTAACCCTAGGTACCGTCTAAGCATAAAAAAAATATCCTTAATTACATTTATATGCAAATAAAAAAAAATGAGAGATATCAGTCATTCATTTTTTAAAAAAAGTTGTTATCTTCATATCTTGACCCTAGGTACCATCTACGTATATGTTAATTTACAAGTAATCTCATCTCTCTTCTAGAAGTCTAAAATGGAGTGTTTGAGGCTACTCATCCTCTCTCTTGCTCTCGCCTCTCTTTCTCCGGCGACCAGTCTCAGCCACAACGACCCCAAGTTCCCGTCGACTCAAGCGAGGAAACTGATCAGAGGCCTCAATTTGTTCCCAAAACACTCCATCAACATCGTCGATCGCGATGTCACCAACCGTTCATCTATTCCCGGTTCGAAGATAGTCGAGAAGCCATTTCAATTCCCCAATTTCGTTGATGCAGACAGCGTCACCATTGAAGATTTAGGTCATCATGCTGGTTATTATCAGATTGAACACTCTCATGATGCTCAGTATATTCCTAAAACCCTGTGTTACTCCTATTATTGTTCTTGACATGCCTCCTTTTTATAAGTTTGCTGATATCATGAGTATCTAGGAACTTTTTCTTCGCGTAAATCAATAAGCTGATTTTTCGCGTGGGAGCTTCTCGGCGATGAACCCACATTGTATTTACAGAAATAGTCCTTAAATTATATCCGAATTTACATTTTAGTCCTTTCAAGTTTCAACATTCATAGGAGCGGTAGTTACGGGACTATTTTAACCAATTTTGCTACATCTACTCTTGTTAACATTGAAAAAAATATTTATCTCTGCCACCTTCGCGTAAATGGAACTATTTTTTCGTGAATACGAGGTCAGAAAAAGCTATTTCACAAATGATCGAACTTTATTTTTCCGAGAAATAATTGGTTATTTTGTGAAAAAATATTTACCTATTTTGGTCATTTTACTTGTTATATTGCAGTTAATTCTATTCCTAGCTAACTATCCATTTATGTCATAGATGCAATTTATTTGATAACTTTCTATATTCGGAAACAGTTGCTTTATTCATTTCCCTCATTTTCACTAGCATCTAAGAATGATATTTGGATTATTTGTAGGATGTTTTACTTTTACTTCGAATCACGCAACAGTGAAAAGGACCCTGTTGTTATCTGGTTGACTGGGGGACCAGGCTGTAGCAGTGAGCTTGCTCTTTTCTATGAAAATGGCCCTTTCAAAATCGGAGATAACTTGACTCTTGTATGGAATGAGTATGGGTGGGACCAGGTGATAGTTTATTGGTTGAATATTATTATTTACCATTTGATACTTTTTTAATGCTCCTTTTTTCCTATTTCTTGTATTTTGTACACAACAATCAATAATATTTTTGTGTAAATTCAGGCATCAAATCTAATATATGTTGACCAACCTACTGGAACTGGCTTTAGTTATAGCTCCGATATAAGAGACATTCGCTATGATGAAAAAGGAGTCAGTGATGACTTATACGATTTCTTACAGGTCTGTTTCTTTGTCAAATGACCTGTTTGCCCTCCACAGATGATTTTTATAATTTATATGGATATAATTCTTTTTCAGGCCTTTTTCACAGAGCATCCTGAAGTTGTGGACAACGACTTTTATATTACTGGAGAATCATATGCTGGGCATTACATTCCTGCTGTTGCTTCTCGAGTCCACAAAGGAAACAAAAACAAGGAAGGGATACACATAAACCTGAAGGTATCTTTTTTTTTTTTTAAAATAAATATTTGTTTTATCGGTTGAGTTTGTGCATTGAGTTTATGAGTTTTTAAAGGGATTTGCCATTGGAAATGGGCTCACTGATCCAGCAATTCAGTACAAGGCTTATACTGATTATGCATTGGATATGGGGATAATTACAGAGTCTCAGTCTAAACGCATCAACTTGATACTTCCTGTGTGTGAAGCAGCAATTAAACTTTGTGGTAATGTTGCATCTCTCTCTCCCTCACACACATACACACACAGTGGGAAATTTCTTATACTGATATACTTCTTCTTTTGCTCTTTTTTAGGCACTGATGGGACAGTTTCTTGTGTAGCTGCATATTTGGTTTGCAACTCCATTTTCATTTCGATCACTTCTATTCCATCAGGCAAGATCAATGTAAGCAAATCTGATTCTTTGTTTTTGAATGAATTTAAGCGCAAAAAACAACTGATAAACACAATAAATAGGACTTCTGCTTTTTCAGTACTATGATATTATCTAACCTATAACATGACGCTCATTTTTAATTTGTTTTTTCAGTACTATGACATAAGAAAGGAGTGTATAGGAAGCTTGTGCTATGACTTCTCAGACATGGAGACACTCCTAAACAAGAAATCTGTTAGAAAAGCTCTTGGAGTTGGAGATGTAGAGTTTGTTTCGTGTAGCACTAGTGTCTACCTGGCCATGCTTATGGACTGGATGAGAAATCTTGAAACTGGCATTCCTGCTCTCCTTGAAGATGGAATTAAGTTGCTTGTATACGCTGGAGAATACGACCTAATCTGTAACTGGCTCGGTTAGTTTTCACTCAACACCATTTCTCAAATCAAATGTTAAGCAGGACAAGACATGACAAGACATGACAGAACAGATTGTACCGCATCAGACCAAGACTCAGACAGACTGACAGACACAGACTGGTGTGGGTGAAACAAAAATTGCAATTTGTTTGTAAAAATTGCAAATCGTTGAAAATAGCCGTAGAAAGCTTGTATTTATTTTTGTTTTTTTATTTTAAAAAAGGTAATTCGAGATGGGTTCATGCTATGGAATGGAGTGGAACGAAAGAGTTTGGTGCGTCTCCTGAAATTCCTTTTGATGTCTCGGGATCTGAAGCGGGCTTACTCAAAAGCTACGGTCCACTCAGTTTCCTCAAGGTATTATGTTGCACTCCTTAGACAGAACAGGTTATACTGCGTTTGTCATACACTGAGACTGATGTGAATGAAACAGGTTCATGATGCTGGTCATATGGTTCCTATGGATCAGCCGAAGGCAGCTCTGGAGATGCTAAAGAGGTGGACAGAGGACTCGCTTTCCAAAACTCCAATGAAGCCTAAATCTCTGGTTTCCTCTATATAATACTATGGATGGGTCTGTGTCTGTTGTTTATAAATAATGTTGGTCGTGGGTTTGGGTCCCACGGATGATGAGTTTTTTGTAGTAAAATTCTTATGACGTTTTTTTTGTTGAGATAAATAGTAAAAATGTTCTTAATGGTAATTAGTATGCATATTGAGAAGCAAATAAATGTTTGTGTTCATTCATTTTGTGGTGTGGTTATTTTACATTTTCAGATAATTACAAACTTAAATATTTATGTTGGTGTATTGTAGAAAGTAAGGTGGTCTTTGTTTTTTGTCTGTAAACCTTCTTGGCTTTTTTTTTTTGTCTGTGTAGACCACGAGCAAACATTAGCCTACATTAATCTTCACAAACTGTTTGTTTTTTAGAAAAACGCAGCCTTCACAAAAACTGTTTGTTTTTTAAGATGACCACAGATCTAAAAATGTTGGTATGTCCTCTTATTGACGTAGATGTAGACTAGAGTCTTCTAAACTCTTCTAGTGAAGGGAAGGAGAGGAAGAAGTTCTTTGTTTTGTTAGCATCAGAAAAATGAAAGCGAAAGCATTTTGTTGTTACTGTTTCTTTTGTAAATGAGAGATTTTTAGCTCAATAATTGCTAATTTCAGTTTATTATGCATATATGGGTTTGTGATATATTATAAGTTTCATTTTTAGAAGGGAAATTAGCCGAAAAGTCCAAGAATATGAGCTCTTGAATGTGGGTTTTTATGTAAATTTTATTCATAGTTTATCATGTACTCTTCAAGTTGATTTGTTCTTAGTTTATTTATATAGATTGTTCAAGTTAATATTCGGTTAGTTTATTTGTATATGTGTTTATTTATATATATCGTTCACATTGATTTTTGGCTAGTTTATTTGTAGAGAAAATGACTTAGAAGGGTAATTATCTGTTACTTTTGTTCACATATGGGTAACATTTACACCATAAGATAACTAACTTGTTTATTGTGTTTACATCTTACCAATGTTAACAGTTATCTTAGGTTACTACTTATATGTCATACATGTAGCATATACATGACATATAAATGGTATGTACGTGGACAAGAAAAAAGGAAAATGACTTAGGATGATATTTATCTTTTATATTTGTTTACATATAACATTTTATTTTGTGTACACCATAAGGTATTTAACTTTTTTATCGTATTTACATCTTACCAATATTATCGGTTATCTTAGGTTATTGCTTATGTGGCATATACGTGGCATGTGCGTAGACAATAAAAATAAATGTGTATATCATAATAATTTTGTTTTCAATTGTTAAAAATTTTAATCTAAAAGTGGAGGCTCCAATTCACCAATTTCACTCAAATCAAGTGTGACATCCCCATTTTCACGGCCAGAAAAGACCGATTTTGTTTATGCTTTATAAAATCAGACTACCATTTTTAATAAAAATGTTGCGGAATTTGTTCCTAGTAAAACATGATAAATACGTTATCAAAACATTTCCGAAGAAATGTATTTTTATTCATTTTAAAACATTTGGGATGTCATTGTCAATACAGAAACATAAGCATAAACATAACTTACATTCATTTACACTAGTGATCTACACCTCTTTAATCTCCCAGTGTAATATAACTTCGTATCGGCACCTGTGATTCAAATAAGCTTGAGTGGGTCAGGTTGGGAAACCTGGTGAGTACATAGGGTTTTCAACCTACAATAATATAATTATTATGTTTAAACATCAAACAATCAACCCAATTACTCTGAAGGATCTACCCTAAGAATTAGCTATTCCTCGTTCATTCATTCCTAAGGATCATTCTAAGGAATCGGCACGAAATCCATCGTTGCCAGGGTTTACTCAACAGGCCACTAAGTCGCATAGTCGCCAGGGTTTAGGCACCAAGTCTACATGGTCGCCCGGGTTTAGGCACCAAGTCTGCATGATCGTCGGGGGTTTAGGCACTAAGTCTGCATAGTCGCCAGGGTCAGGCACCAAGTCTGCATGATCGCCGGAGTTTAGGCACTAAGTCTGCATAGTCGCCAGGGTTAGGCACCAAGTTTGCATGATCGTCGGGGTTTAGGCACTTAAACACATCGTTCACAACACCTACAGGTTGCGAGTCTGCTAGTGTTCCACTGGACTGTCTAGAATAGTCTGTGGTTGTCATCCATACTCTGCTAGATGACGGGGCCATCATTTGGGAAAAAGGTGTAACATCCCAAAAATACAACCCAAAAGTTTCGTTTCAAAACATTATTAAAGCCATCAACCATCCAAAATCATAAGTAAAATCATAATCGTGTATCATAAACATCATAGTATCTGTCTCAAATCAAATCTCATATCCAAATATCAGAGTCTAGCTCCCAGGCTGAAGACTGTGGTGTGTGCCATGCGATCATCACGAGCCCTTCCCAGTGCTAGTGGAAGTACCTGAAACCAAAACTGAAAACAGTAAGCACAAAGCTTAGCGAGTCTCCCCAATCTACCACATACCATCTACACATAGCATGCAACTAGGAGATACGGGCCTCGCCCTCACTCCGCTAACTGGGAGATACGGGTCCCGCCCACACTTCGTTATCTAGGAGATACGAGTAGTTAAAAAGATATTATAACGACACTTATATAAGTCATAATAATAGCCCAAATATTTATTATAAGTTCATAATAATAATACTAATTTTAAATATAAGCTATATTAAAATAGGGTAATCATAACTTACTTACAAGAGGGTTTTAGCTAGGACTCTGGCTCTGCAGGGGCAGAACTTCGTCGCTGAATCTTTCTAGGAAAGATTCGTGCAGCGTTTCAGCGCTCACCTTACTATACTAAAACTACAGAAAGAGAAGTCGAATCACGAGGGACCGAAATGCTCGGGGGATAAGAAGAGAAAGACTCTTGAATCAAGAGAATGGTACAATAAATATGAGAGCACAAGGCTCTTATTTATAGTAATTGAATTTTCAAAAACTACCCTCATAGTTACTTAATGACATTATAGTTATATAAACAACTAAACACCTATTTATAATAATATTTTAAATAGATTTAACGATATTTTTGCTAAACTAATGTCGAAAGTATTCAACGCTAGTCTTATAATGACCGCATCGTCGATACTTTTCTAATGATATATACATATGTATATATATATGTGTACGTATATATGATTTATACTTTATTTTAATACGTAAATATGTATTATAATTTGTAATTTGTTCATACGAACTCCGTTTTTTACGCTCTTTATATCCACGTGTAGGTGGAGACGTACTTTACATTTAGACTCCGTCGGTTAAATTTGACTTTATTTTTAAAGTTATATTTTTAACAGGCCGGGACAGGAAAAGTTCGTTAAAAATTCATAACTTCTTCATCCGACGTCCGTTTTCGTATGTCTTTTTACCGTTGTGCTACTATTAATGAGATCTCCAATTCTCATTTAGGTTGTGTTGGCCAAAAATCAATCGATCTAAAATTCGAATTTCGGGCTATGCACTGCTATGCCAAATCTTAGATATCTAAGGCTAAACTTCTTCGTTATAACTCGGATTTCAGCGTTCTTTATATGTACGGAACCCTTGTAACATATACTATAACTTGGTTAAGATTAATCCTTATAAATAATCTTCCATCAAAAACTCATTTTTGATGCTCATTGTCTCTAAATTGACTAGCCAGATCTACGGGCGTTACATCAAGCTTTGTCTGGGTCCTTTCATCATCCACCCATTCACATAATTTACATTTTGGGGGTCGTCCACTATTCAATCGAAGGGAAAACAAGGTTAGAATTAGGAAGATTAAACTAAAAGCTCAAAAAGGATAAATTGGTTTGCCAGTGAGTTTGGTAAACTTTAAATTTCCGCCGAGGGTTATCTTCGATCCTTGATTTACACGAGATGGTAACTTACAGTAACATGTATGCTCAGCTTGGAATTCATCAGGTTGTCCGGAAAAGACGAAAAAGAATTTGTTGATCTCTACTTTTGAGTCTCAACTAATAACCTAAATGTATGCCACACTTTTTATAATGCATACATGTGTTTTTCTTGTCTACGTACATGCCACATATATGTCACATAAACAATAACCTAAGATAACCGGTAATATTGGTAAGATGTGAACGCAATAAACAAGTTAGTTACCTTATATGGTACAAAAGATAAAATGTTATCCATATGTAAACAAAACTAAAAAAATAATTACCATGTTAATTCATTTTCCTTTTTTCTTGTCCACATATATGCCATGCATATTCCACATATATGCCACATAAGTAGGAACATAAGATAACCGATAATATTGATAAGACGCGAACACAATAAACAAGTTAGTTACCTTATGGTATACAAAAGATGAAATGTTACCCATATGTGCAAAACTAAAAGATAATTACCATCCTAATTTATTTTCCCTTTATTTGTAATATATTTTGTACATACAAGACTACAAATAATCTATGTAAAGATATAACGTTTTTAAGTCAAACCAAGTGTGGATGTGAAAAGGTTAAAAACATAATATGTTAATGGCATAAACTATTGGTCATTTATTTTACTTTTATTATTACAAATATAATAAAGTTATATTAAAAGTATAAAACATGAGGTAGGAGTTGTTTGCTCTCATTGCCAAAGACAAGAGATAGGTATAGGTGATGATCAATAGTAAACCCGACAATTTAATAGACGAAGGGACTGAGATGATACAAACAACGCCTAACTTATGTAAAAATTTTTGAATTTTTTTTTCCTACTATCGTGCCACTACTTAAAATTTCGGTGTAATCCTACTATGAAATCTTGCGTCCGCCTCTTGATAGATCAATAGTAGACCTGACAATTTTATAGGTGATGAGATTTAGATATACAAACATGACTCGTGTTTAGTGTTTATTCGTATTTACATCAATTTCAAATTGGTGTTTGTGTATTATATATATAGACACAAAATTATCCGTTTAATCGACATAGATAAATATCGCCCACATACATTTAAATTTATATATAATTAATAATTAATTTTTTATTATAATTTGAATTTTTTTTCCCTAAAACTCGTTAGAAGCCCGTCCCTCACGACGCCCTCGCCGCCGCAGTTTTCATTTCCTGCGCTTGACTATAACGCTTTGTTTCTGCCGCCGTCCCTCACCGGAACTTGCTTAACAGGTACGTATATCGACGGTCGTGATTTTCTTGTTTCGTTCTCGTTATGTGTTCTATCTTGTAGATCAATCATTTGTCCGTGTTCTAGAATTTATACTCTGTGATGTTATATTATTCCTTTGAAAGTCGATATTTAGTCGGTATATTCTTCGCAATTTGTGTGAGTTACGTACCTACATGAGTTGGATTATGAGATTTGTGATTTATCGTTCTAATTAGGGCATATTGACGATCATCGTATACAACATTTTATCTTCAATAGTGTTCGATATTATACCGATCTCAGTTTTTTTAATGGTTGAGATGCTATAATCAATATATGATAGCAACATCTTGATACAATGTTTATCTTCAATATGCTAGAACCCTAAAAATCAATACTAATGTATTCTTACAAAGTTAAATACAAGCTAGTGTCACTTGCTTAGTTTCTTGGGTTGAATACCTTAAAATATTTATGCTATTATTCCACCTCCATATTGAACCATAGAACACCTTGATTCACTACTCATACTTACTACAAATTGAGATGTTTTTAAGCCTAAGATTCTCTGGAACACAAGTCTTGGATGATTCTTCTTAGTTCCTCCCTTTGGAGAATAAACAACTTCAAATCCTTTGGTTATGTATAATTTGAATATGTTTAAATCTTTATATGAAGAATACCAAGAATAAATTGTTATTTAATTTTAATCTCCTTATAGTCAGGGATTTATATCAAGTAATTAAAAAACATGACAAAAATAGTAAGAAAATGAGATGTTTTATGAAGTATATCTGGAAAAAAATTGACATTTATTTTAAATTCCTTAAAATTTGGGATTTATAAAAAAAAAATACTAAGAAAATGAGATGTGGCATTATTATGCATAAAAATATGACATGCATCAATCAAAATGTTTCTTTTATTATAACAGGGATATATTGGTTTAATTGCAGTTAATTGGTAGCCATTTCCATGGATGCTGTGGCTGAAACAACATCCTTCTTTAACACAGCACCCCTTCTGAAAGATGCTGATACCATAACCAGAAAATTAACCCAATTTATTGATCATAATACTTCTTCTTTATCAGGCATGTTCACTTCACTTCACTTGTTTGTATATATTTTGTTTCACTTTAAACATTTTATAAAGTTGTATATATATGTTTAGGAAGTGTGGGGCCTAGAAGGGTTGTATGTGTGACATCTGGTGGGACCACTGTTCCTTTAGAGCAACGTTGTGTGCGTTACATTGATAACTTTAGCTCTGGGCATAGAGGAGCAACTTCTACCGAGTATACCCCTACCCTAACTATACACAATTACACAACTTTTTTTAATTATTTAATTTCAAACTTAACAAGATAATCTGGATTTGCATTCAGGTACTTTTTGAAATCTGGATATTCAGTCATCTTTCTGTATAGGAGGTGAATATATACATATATACCCTTTCTGTTTCCATTTAGACAAAAACTAGGGTGATATTAAGTTGTAATCTGTAAATTTTCTATTTGGCAGGGACCATTTTTGTAATTTTTCTAAACACATAGAAAACTTTTCTATGGACAGTTTTCGTAATTTATTTTTTACACAGGGACCAAACCTGCCAACATACGAAAGTCTTAAACACATGGACTGTTTCTATAAAAACAAATCTAGACAGGGACCTTTTCTGTAAATTACAGTGACAGTTTTTGTAATTTATTTTTTACACAAGGACCAAACCTGTCAATATACATAAATGTTGTGTAGGGGAACATGCCAGCCATTTTGTAGATCGCTTCCAGATGATGCACTACTTGAATGTTTCGAGCTTACTGATGATTCATGCATAAAAGGTCATACTTTTTATAGTAAATCATTTTGGTCAAACTTTTTTGTTGACTATGAATATGGACCACATAGGCTCATATCATAAAGAAATGAATACAATTTATTTGTTTTACAGTGCAGGAGTCACAGTCTGAAGTAGTTAAGAGGGCAATTAAGGAACATCACAAAGTAGGAGTCATCTCTTTTGTTTAAAGCTGTGTTTGTTTTGTTATATACAATGTATACATATACATATACATATTACATATTGCATTTACACATAAAAGATTTCATATGATCACAGGCTGTTTCAGGAGGCTTGTTGCTTAAACTGCCTTTCACAACCATCTTTGAGTATCTTCAGGTAAATTTTATTTATTTATTTTCAATCAAACTGGAGAAAACAACATTTTATGAATAAGTTAATTAAAATTTGTAGTAAAATATGAGCAGATTTTAAGGTTGATTGCAACATCAATGAAGATAATTGGAGCAAGTGGTATGTTTTATCTTGCGGCTGCTGTATCCGACTTTTATGTTCCATGGGAGACCATGGTAATTATTTTTACTTCACTCAAATAAAAAAGAGGTTAATTTAATTGATGGATTATTTATTTATTTATTTATTTATTGTAGGTAGTACATAAAATCCAGTCAGCATCTGGTCCTCTGGATATGCGGCTGGCTCAAGTACCTAAGATGCTTTCGGTTCTGCGAAACGAGTGGGCCCCAGAAGCATTCTGTGTGTCATTCAAGGTAAGATAATTTCCTTCCTTACAAGTTTTGTTTGCATTTGGAATTGGGAGAGGAATGGAATGAAAAAAAAAATGGTTTTAAATTAATATGATGATTAATTATAGTTGGAGACAGACAAAGAGATTCTTTTAGAGAAGGCGGATACAGCTCTTAAAAGGTACAAAATGCATGCGGTAGTAGCAAATGAACTTTCGACCCGTAAAGAGGTAGTCATACTCGTCACTGACAATGGAAAAACTTATGTATACCGTGAAAACGACCACTCAGATGTCGAATCTCCTTTGATAAAACTACTTGTGGACAAACATTCGACTTTCATCAATACGTGAACAATAAACCAGCTAGTGGACTATGTTTCTCATAGATACAAAAGAAAATCTCAAGATACAAAGCTTGTCAAGAAGTGAGAACAAATTTAAGTGTAAATTGGTGAAAATTGTATTTTCTTTTCCAAGTTTATTGGTACTTTTGTAGTTTAAAGATACATTTTCTATAATCATTTGTTTTTAAATAAAACAAGGTCAGAGTTTTAATTGCGGAAAAAAAATACGGTCTTATAGTTCAAAATAAGTTTTTAGTATCATTCTAAACATTTTTATTATGGAATTAGGTTCCAAGGTTTGAAACATTGTTGGTTGAGTACAAAACAACGAGTAAGTTAATGAACACCATATCGCCTCGAAAGTCTTGAATCTGAGCACAAATCAAAATAAGTTAGTCGATGGAAGTGTCAAGTGAGAATATCCGATGTTGATTATTTTGAGTAAGAAGATATCAATGAAAAAAATCATCATGTCATAAGTATTAATGAACTAAACGATAGAATACTATAGCTCAACTAAACAAGGGCAAAGAGTATATGTATCCATATTTAAATCAAACTATATAAAATATATAAATCAAAATCAAAAGTTTAATAACTCAAAATTTTAACCAAAAAAGGTAGTAATCAAATCCAAGAACTTACTAAACAATAATATGTAACAAGGGAATTTGTAATTCATGATCCAAAGCAAATGGTTAATTAACCTATAATTCCAAATAAAATGTTTAATCTTTCAATAAACCAAAACATAAGAAGTAATAAGTCATAAATTGGGATTTAATGACCTAACTAAAATAAAAATGGTCTTAATAACCTACAGTTCCAAACATAATCAAAGGCTAAATGTTGGTTAACAAGATTGACAAATCATATTATAGCTTTAAGCTAAATCTTAACCCCTTAAAAAATATATATCAATACAGTTGTAGTAATATTAAAACCCATGAAAATGGATTATCTCAAACCCATGAAATGAAATATCTCGACGCAGTTGCGGTAGCGACATAACCTATGAAGGGATTATCTCGAAGTCAAGAAAAAGAATACCTCTATGCAGCTGTGGTAGCGACATAACCCATGAAAGGGAATATCTCAAGTTCAAATAGAGTGTTCGGATCTCTCAATCTCAATCCTATCATAAGTAAATGTATATAAGGATGTTTTACAACAATTCTAAAGCAAAGCGTAAACTTTTCTCCAAAACAGGATAACTTCTTAAGGACAGTTCTCATAGATGTAGGTAAGTACTCATAGTACGCATATAACATCAAAGATGTATCATATAAAAATGATAAATAGTTTTCAATTTATCAAACAATATCTCAAATGAGCAACATACTTTCCAAAAAAAAGTTTTTCATGTTATGTATAAATAATATTCATAGTTAAACACATTGCACATAGCATAAATATCATATAATTAAACAACTCAAAGCATAGCTAACATCTAATAACATAGAAATCTCCAAAATAAGAAATCAATATAGAGGGCATGTGCTCCTAATAAACTCACCTCAAAAGTTACCAAAGCAACCACAAGAACTTCAAGCCCTTGATACACTTCAATCACTATATATTGATGATAACCAAAAGGTTAATAGTGGACCTATACATCGCTACATCACCCTACAACTCAACATAGACCTCTAATACACTTAGAAAGTCAACAAACAAGAATGGGGAAACATGTTTTAGAATTGGCGTCTGGGAAGCCAACTCCGACACCAGGCTCACAAACCCTGATGCCAAGGCATCATACATGGGGTCTTAGATGCCCATTAAGACGCCAATGTGCAAGTTTTTTCCATTTTAGCAATGTACTTTGACCATTTTGCAACTAAACCTTGATGGGTTTTCGGAAGCTAAAAACGATCTTTTTTATAAAACAATTTTAAGCGACAACGGAAGCAATATTAAAAATAACTATTATTTTTAGACCATTTTAACATAACCACTAAGGATCCAATTACATGATATTATAAAGATTATGACAACCATAGAATGTTAAGAATACAACCTTTGAAGATTGCGATCCCACTTGGTTTGAGATGTTGATGAAGATGGCAAAAACTCAAGAAAAAATTTCTCTATAATATCCATCGACAAGTATATGTCACCAATAATGTTAGTTTTTATCTTGTATGAAGTACTTCTTAAGCCTTTAAGCAAGGTTGTAGAACTCGTTACTCGGTACCTGTTCGGCCGACTACCGAGTAGCGAGTACCCGTGAGTACTCGGATTCGGTAATTCATGTAGAAATATTTTTAGAGAAATTATATATGTCAAAATCATATGTTAAAATTATAACTTGATTGAAACATATAACAAAATTAGATACATGTGAATACACAAAAGCTAAAAAAAACACATAATGGTCTCACTTCGTGAATAATTACTGAAAATTTAAGATGTATATGTAGTAATAATCACATGTGTGTGTTAAATAATAAATCATTAAGTATATTATACATATTAATCATCGAGTTGACCGCGTTTTACAGCACTACTCAGTTCAGTAAGGGGCTAATCAGGGAGTACTCGGGATTCTGTAACTCGCCTCGGTAAGGGGCCGAGTAGCGAGTACTTGGAGGAGTAATCGGTCAACTCGGCGAGTTTTACAACACTGCCTTTAAGTGATTATCACAAATAAGTATTAAAGGAAAATCAGTTCTAAGCATCAAATATCTGCTAGCTTCAAAAGACGAGAAAAAGAGGATAGGGGAGGAAGAACCTACGGTTCTTGCATGGGAAGAGAGAAAGAGTTTTTTGAATAACTCCAAAATGAAACCCTTGGGCCTCCTTTTATAGTTTACATGCATGTATCATGCACCATACCTCTCATAAATAAAAGCATGGGCTAAAGGAAGAGTCATGGATGTGTAAGAGGTTGCTTCACAATCAACCTCTCCTCTTGAGAAGCAACATATGGTTTTGACCTCAAAAGGTCAAAGTATGGGTGTCATCCATTCCTTATTTTATACAAGCATGTACACCATTTATTTATAAGGGTATATACGAAATTCTCCATTTAAACTAGCTTTATATAAACGGACTACAAAAAGTCCAAAAAGATGTACACAACATATAAATCCATACCTTATGGGTTTCTAGTTATTTTTCTCTCTTAGAAAATATTATTTACATAAATCATAATATTCCAATTAAATACAAGAGTTGGTAATATTTATTAATAATCAAATTACTTAATAAATAATCAATAAATGACAACTTGCTAAAGGTGTGACCCTATAGGATTATATGCTATTGGCAAACATCATTCTAAAATGATTCTTAAGCATATAGATCCAACAAAACTTCCCAAACTCTATCAATAAATGTCTATTCATGTTTTAAAGCCCAAATACACATCTTATCAACAAAATATCTCTTCTTCCATCTATTTATATTTAAAACAACAATGCAAAACCAAATTCATGTTATGATTCCAAACCAACAAAACTTGTGTTGATTCCAATTCCCCCTATGAAATTTTATAATTATGTGTACATAAAAGCTTAGTTAATATTACTCAATCATTCTAGATTTGTCTTTCATGTTTCATTTCCAAAATCATTTTATCGTTTTGATGGTCAACATTATTCCTAAAAACTCTTTATTCCGTTCTAATGGTGTTTCCACCATTGGAATTGTCAATTTCAATTACATTTTCAAAGGAAAAAACCATGGAATCCTAACTAGAATCAAAATATAAATAATATAATAACATTAATACTCTAGATTTACATCAATTACAAGTTACATAATTAATGTACAACTCAATGAAGCTTAAGTACAACACTAGACATGGTTTTAGGGCTGATTTAAATCATCAATTCATCTGTGGAGATGGAATCTAGCATTTCTTTGATGAAGTAGTGATTCAATGGTGATCAAAACACATGTTTCTAGCATTCTTACTTAAACAAAACATTACATACCTTGTTAAATTCGGATTTCATCATAGATCTAGGCTTTGAGAATCATAAGCTCCATTAAATGTTGAATAAAGCTCTAAAATTCAAAGAGGGATGCTAGAAACATATCTAATATTTAATTCAACATTCAATAACTACTAGAACTCTATGAATATATTCAAATTTTGGATTTGGGGATCACATGAAACCCTAATTCGAGATTTATGAAGAAATAGGGAGAACTAGTGATCTTAATTACCTCTCCAAGTTGTACACCTTTTTATCTATCCTTTATTGCTTCAACTCCTTCAAAGCTCCATCTATGTTACCAACAAATTCTCTAAAATCGCTTATGGAGCTTTTTCCAGATATCCTAAGTCATGTTCCACAAGAGATTGAGAAAGAGAGTAGGGTTGGGTCTTATTTCAAATTCCCCTTATCCTAATTTGGCCACTCAACTTTTATTTTTTTACAAAATGGCCATCATTTTATAAGTCTTGCAATTAATAATTGTCCATTCCCATATTTAGTCATCCCCACCATTTTTATGACTTTAGTAGTCCCGGTTCCACTTAACTTAGTCAACACCCGGTTAAACTAAACTTTATCAAATGACAATTCTTTAAAGACTACCAAGAGCAAAGGTTTGACTATTTGAGAAAGCTTTAAATTGTGCTAGAGATATAACTCCTTATTTAGGGATTGATAATAATAAAAGAAGAACTATTAAAAAAAGACAGTGTGAGGAGAGTGATGTTGAATCATTAGAACAAGTACATGAACTTTCGCCCCAAGAATCATTTAGGGTTTAATATTTTGTGTATATAGTTGATCAAGCTAAATGTTTGAGCAATACAAAACAATATGAAGATATTTTTGGTTTCTTATTCTCAACAAAAAAGTTGAAGTTACTGAAAATTGATGAGCTAAAGGCAAGTTACAAAAAATCTTGAAAAGAGTTTACGAGATGGTCATATCTCGGTCATCAGTGGTGATGATTTATTCAAATTATTCGGTGAGAGGGAATTATTACAAATTTTTTTTACTGGACATTATACAGCCACCACAATACTACAATTCTTGAAGAGGTTAAACATTTATTTGGTTTCTTGTCTAGCATACATA